AAGTCGACAAAGTTTCAAAAACTGGTTGTGCTAAATGAAGACTATTTATCGGCTATATTTTTCAGTTTTTGCAAATTGACTTTATTTTTCTGCATTTTTTCTACTTGTAAAAATGTCACAACCGTCTGAGAATATTCTTTGCAAAGAAGAGTACGACGAAGAAAACAATTTTCTGTACTGTGAAAAAGTTTGTGTAAAAGAAGAAGAAAATGACGGAGAGACTGAAATAACAGAAACTATCTCAGAAAATATTGACGCGTCATTTCAAACCGTAGTTACAAAATTGAACGACAATGATCGTAACACCAAATTAATTGTTGGTACAGCAAATTTTATTGGTAAGGGTACAGCGTTTTAGCTTTGTAACACTTTAATTTACTTATTTCCTATTAAATCAGGTTCCCAATCGCCCCAGCCATTACCTCAATCTGCTATTAGCAAAAATCATTTGCCACAAGTTGAGAACAATGTTTTCCGGCTATCACCAACAAGTGACCTGCAACAACCAAAGTGCTTGTTTTCAAACTGCAAATCTAAAAAGCATTTGCCTGATAAAGGCGATTTTTGCCAGGAATGCAACAAATGCGTTAGTTATAAAAACTTTTTAAATTACAAAAAATATTTTAAAAATGGTGACCAAGTTTACAAATGTAAAGTGTGTAAAAAGGCATACAAATTTGAGAAATGGTATAAAAAACACCAATTAACTCACCAAAACAATGAAAATAAAATCCACGCTATTCATTCGCCACTCGTAGGTATCACTAGTGTTCCTTATCAACTGAGCCAATTTTTAAGTCGTCCATTAGAAGAACAACTATCAGAAAGCTGTGAACCGGCATTCAGCGAAGTTTATAAGCGCAATTTATGTGGGCAGTGCAACAAGTGGTTTTTTAATTTTCAAGCTCACCAAAAGTTTACTCATCGAAATATTGTTCACATTGCTTCTACAGATAACCTTCAAATTAACGATGGTGATTTCAACAACGGCGAAAAGTTTAAATGTAAGGATTGCGATCAATCGTTTGCAACTGAAGAACTTTTAATAATGCATCAAATAATTCAAAGTGATATAAAAGCTTACAAATGTAATAAATGTGAGAAAACATTTAAAACACAAGGACACCTAAAGATTCACAGCAAAGCTCACAACAACAGTGAGATATTCAAATGTAGCAAGTGTGATAAATCGTACAAAATTAAACATCATTTTGAAGCTCACCAAAACCGTCACAATGAAGCCAATACCCTCAACTGTACAAAATGTTACAAATCATTTGAATCCGAAAAACTTTTAAAGTATCATAGTCAAGTTCACAAAGCATTCAAATGCACAAAATGTGAAAAAGCATACACATTTGAGCAACACTTAATTACTCATCAAAAAACTCATGAAATCAAACTTTACATGTGTCTGGTTTGCTCTAGAACATTTTCATTCAAATATGATCTTGAGGTGCACAAATTAAGTCACTAAAACACCATTTACCGCTTATAATTGTAATTTTTAATATCAAAAAATAAAAATTTTAGTAATTTGTCATCACTAGCAAGTGTCTGTGATTGAGACCACCTTTTTTCGAACTAATATCACGCTACTGCAACACTCTCTCATTTAGTCTATTTAAGCAAAGGACGCGTCACTGNATTATAATTGTAATTTTTATTATCAAAAATAAAAATTTTAGTAATTTGTCATCACTAGCAAGTGTCTGTGATTGAGACCACCTTTTTTCGAACTAATATCACGCTACTGCAACACTCTCTCATTTAGTCTATTTAAGCAAAGGACGCGTCACTGAAGGCAACCATACGTGTCTGACGTGTTACTACTGCCGCCTTGTTTTCTGCTGTCCACTTCTGAAACGCGTTTTCCTCCAACTCTCATTCCTTCAAAAACAACTGAGCCGTAGCTTTGCAAGCAAGCAAGCAATCAAGCAGGCAAGATGAGCGAAAACAATGAAAACGCCAACGAGGTGCCCAAGAGCGAGGCCCGCACTGAGGGCACTGAAGGGAAGAGCGAAAAGAGCGGCAAGAGTGGCAAGAGCGGCAAGAGCGGCAAGGATGGAGCTGCTCCTGCCTCCGGCGCCGATGGCGCCCCGTCACCGGTCGCCGACGAGTCCCCGGTGGAGGCCAAGTCCACTGGAGGAGGAGGAGGTGAAGGAGCCGACGGAGAGGCTGGTGAAGCCGGTGGCGCCGAAGCTGGCGCCTCAGCCGAGCAGGTCGAGCCTGACGCATCCAAGGTGAAGAGCGGCCTGGCGAAGGAGAGCGCCGTCAAGTCGGGCGTGAAGAGCGGCGTCGCCGAGGCGGTGGTCAAGTCCGCCGCCAAGAAGTCCTCCAGCGGCAGCGGCAGCGGCGCCAAGCGAGGCAGTGCCAGCAAGACCTCCTCCAGCACCGGCGGCTCGAAGGTGTCCGCCAAGCCGAGTCGCAGCCGCTCCAAGGCGGTGGCCAGCCTGGAGGGCGCCCGCATCGGCTTCATCGGCGCCGGTCGCATGACCGACAGCATCGTCAAGGGCCTGCTCAAGTCGGAGAAGGTGAAGCCGAAGCAGGTGTTCATCGCCGCGAAGACCGCCAAGAACTTCGACGCCTTCAAGGTGCAGGGCATCGCCACCAGCACGCGCGCCTACGACATCTTCGGCAAGTTCGACTGCGACGTGGTGATCATGGCGGTGCACGGCTTCGTCATCCGCAACTGCTTCAAGCTGGGCGGCAGCCGTCCGCTGGCCCTCACCACCAACTTCATTCCCACCCGCCGCCGGGCCATCTACGTGCTCTCCCTCATCGGCGGCGTGCCGCTGGCCGACCTGAAGCAGGTGCTGCTGAACCCCGACAGCGAGGGCCGCTACAAGGTGGCCATGCACCGCCTGGTGCTCAACACCAGCGTCGCCTACGGCCTGGGCCTGGGCGCCCTCGACGTGGAGCTCGACTCGAAGAAGTGCGCCCCGGTGGTGCGCGACCTGCTGCAGGCAGTGGCCAAGGTGGAGTACGTCGTCGCCGAGCAGATGGACGCCGTCTGCTCGCTGGCGGGCAACGGCAGCGCCTTCGTCTACTACTTCATCGCCTCCCTCGCCGACGGCGGCTTCAAGATGGGCCTGAACAAGGTGATGGCCGTCAAGCTGGCCACCAAGACCATGCAGAGCGCCGCACTGGCCGTCCTCGAGACGAACAAGGGGCCGGCGGCGCTGCGCGACGCCTCCACCTCGCCCTCGGGGCCGGCCATCTACGGCATCGCCGTCCTCGACAAGCAGGACTGCGCCAGCGGGCTGCAGGCGGCCATCGAGGGCGCCAACCGCCGCCTCAAGGAGCTGGTGGAGAAGGCCGTCTAGCAGCAGCTGCAGCAGAGGGCCACTCCTCTCTGAATTCTTTTGAGCAGACAAATGGTGTGCTGCTGCTCTTCTTCTATTTTGTGGCTTTCATTTGTTTTTGCTCCTGTACTGCCACACTTATTCATTTTCCAAGTTTTTGCATTTTTAGCAACTTTTACTTTTTATTAAAATTTTTGAAAAAAATATTACTAAAGTTAAAACTAAAACCTTCGAATTTGATGTGGCGCACCTCACAAGCTTCAACAATGCTGACGTTTATTGGAGAAAGCAGATGACAGTGGCTTACACCTGGCACATTCGAGTTTTGTTCTCTCTTTGCTGCTGTTGTCAAGCTAAACTCGTACAAATCGCTCAAATTTCCGCTTTTAACCTTTTTCTCCAGCTTAGTACAGTCAATAGAAGATGCAGGAAGTGAAGAAAGTGGAGCTGGCATCGAATGACGTGAAGCTGCTGGCCATCAAGGGCTACACCGTGGGCGACCCGCTGAACAGCGGCAGCTTCGCCTGCGTCTGCAAGGCCACCGCAAAGGGCAAGCCGGCGGCGGTGAAGGTGATCGACCTGGAGAAGACCTCCGACGACTACCGCCTCAAGTTCCTCCCTCGAGAGCTGTACACGATGAAGAAGCTCAGCCACCCGTACGTCATCCAGGTGCTGGACATCTTCGCCATCGGCAATCGTGTGCTAGGTTTGTGCACTTGTTTTTTGAAGTTTTTTTAGAAAACTAGAAACACACCTCATCTTTGATCGACAGTGTTCATGGAGCTGGCTGATGGGGGCGACATGCTGGACCTGCTGCAGGCCCTGAAGCATCCGCTGAGCGAGGAGAAGGCTCGCGCCTACTACCTTCAGTTTGGAGACGCTCTACGCTACATGCACTCTGTGGTAAGTGGGGGCAACTTTAACTACAGATCTTTACTAAAACTAAATGTTTCTTTTTCCATGCAACAAACAGGGCTTCGCCCACCGAGACATCAAGTGTGAGAACATTCTGCTGAACAAGGACAAGAGCGCCGCCAAGTTGACTGATTTTGGGTACGTCTCCTTCATAGTTGGCCTACGACTTTATTCAGCAACTTTTCTGTTTGTCAAAAAA